TTTTTTTTTTTTTTTTTGAGATGGAGTCCTGCTCTGTCACCAGGCTGGAGTGCAGTGGGGCGATCTCAGTTCACTGCAACCTCTGCCTCCCTGGTTCAAGCGATTACCCTGCCTCAGCCTCCCAAGTAGCTGGGATTACAGGCATGTGCCACCACGCCCAGCTAATTTTTGTATTTTTAGCAGAAACTGGGTTTCACCATGTTGGCCAGGATGGTCTCCATCTCCTGACCTCGTGATCCACCTGCCTGGGCCTCCCAAAGTGCTGGGATTACAGGTATGAGCCACTGCACCTGACCAGGTTGGGCTTTTTTTAAAGCTTGAGGCAAATTTAGCATTTTTAAAGTGTGTGTGTGTGAATTCCTCTTTTCTAACACAGAGGAGGACTACGTTTTCACCCATCTATCTTGGTCCTCCTTACTGGAGGCGCCTATTTCACTAGCATTTTCTTTTTTTTTTTTTTTTGAGACGGAGTCTCGCTCTGTCGCCCAGGCTGGAGTGCAGTGGCTGGATCTCAGCTCACTGCAAGCTCCGCCTCCCAGGTTCACGCCATTCTCCTGCCTCAGCCTCCCGAGTAGCTGGGACTACAGGCGCCCGCCACCTCGCCTGGCTAGTTTTTTGTAATTTTTAGTAGAGACGGGGTTTCACCGTGTTAGCCAGGACGGTCTCAATCTCCTGACCTCGTGATCCGCCCGTCTCGGCCTCCCAAAGTGCTGGGATTACAGGCTTGAACCACCGCGCCCGGCCTTCACTAGCATTTTCAACTGCCCCTCTAAGATGTACTTAGGAATTCTACATAAAAATCCTGTCTTCTAATGTATTTGTTTGCTTTTACTCATTCATTCTTTTATTGTCTTTATCATAAGTTGTCTTTATTTTTCTATTTTTAACTTCTTGGTTAAAGTCTAAGTTTACTTGTTTTAATGTTTTTAAATAATGAAAGTATTGCATCTTTGAACCTGTTTGCAAGCCCAGCACTGGTACATTCCTTGTGCTTTTGAATATCCTTCTGTAATTACAGGGTCATTTCCATCTTGACCCACATTATTTTGAAGGGGGTTCTTTAACATCCAAATGCTTGGTTTTGTCGTTTTAACTTTATTATGATCTAATTTTAAAGGATTATGCTCAGTGAACAAAGTTTACGTCATTGCTGTTTTCTTATTTTGGAAATGTTTATGGCCTAGGTTGAGTGATTACTTTTTGTAAGTATTCCATAAATACTTAGAAAGAAGACGCATTCTTTGTTGGTACAAATTCCACCCAGAACTCCTAAACCACTCCTTTTTTATGCCATTCAGATTCACAATCCTCCTTATTTATTTATTTATTTATTTATGAGACGGAGTCTTGCTCTGTCGCCCCAGCTGGAGTGTAGCGGTGCCATCTTGGTTCACTGCAACCTCCGCTTCCCAGGTTCAAGCGATTCTCTTGCCTCAGCTTCCCCAGTAGCTGGGATTATAGGCGCCCACCAGCATGCCCGGCTAATTGTATTTTTAGTAGAGACAAAGGTTTGGTCGGCTTACCAAAGTGCTGGGATTACAGGCGAGAGCCACTGCGCCCAGCCCCCACCTTATTTTTAATCCAACTAAATACGCTTAAACTTTACTCCTATGGTTGCTTCACTGAATGTCTTCGTATGTTTTATACAGTTTTAAATTCAAGTTTAATACGAAGACCGGAAAGTGCACAGATCACGGCCTCTACAAGGAGGCTTCCGACAGAGCTGGCGCTGGGCTCCTGTGCTCCCAGGAGCGTCCTGCCTTCCTCGCTCCTGCGGCCGCTGCCAGACGCTTGCTGGGAGAACACCACAGTATGGAGTGACTCTCTCTGCTCGATCCCACGGTGTGGGGGGACTCCCCCTGCGATCCCACGGTGTGGGGAGTGACTCTCTCTGCTCGATCCCACGGTGTGGGGACTCCCGCGATCCCGACGGACTCTCTGCGATCCCACCGGCGTGGGGGACTCCCCCGCGATGCCACGGTGGGGGACTCCTCATGATCTCTATCGTGTGGGGATCTCTGCGATCCCACGTGTGGGGGGACAGACTCTGATCTCACGGTGTGGGGGGACTCTGCGATGCCACGGTGTGTGGGGGATCTCCCGCATCCCACGGTGTGGGGACTCTCTGCGATGCTGGGACGGTGGGGACTCCCTGCGATCCTGACGTGTGGGGACTCCCTCTGCGATGCCACGGGGTGTGGGGACTCCCCTGCGATCCCACGGTGTGGGGACTTTATCCCACGGTGTGGGGACTCTGCGATGCTGACGGGGTGGGGGACACCTCATGTATGCCACGGTGGGGACTCCCGATGCCACGGTGGGGACTCTGCGATCCCATGGTGTGGGGTGATCTCTGCGATGCTACGGTGTGGGGGAACTCTCCTCGCTTGATCCCACAGTGTGGGTGACTCCCCCTGCGATGCCACGGTGTGGGGGGACTCCCTGCTCTGCCCAGTGTTTTCTTCTTGAAGTCCGAGGACACAATTCTTCCTGCTTCCTCCGTGCACCATCCTGCCCCATTCCTGTTCGTCTTTTTATTTGTATTGCTCATGGCTGCTTATGTTCTAGCTGCCAACCCACCCTCGGTGCTGAGTTCACCAAATCACTTCACGTTGCAGAGCAGGCTGTTACAAATCCACTGTTACGGGAAGGCCACCCCATCCTCTCTTTGCCGCTTTCCCCCACCGGCTCCCCTCTCCCCCATCTATCACTTCTATCCCCTGGTCCCTGCTCACCTGCCGACCCCCACAGAGCAGTCCCTTCATGCACCTGCCCCTCCCAACTTGCCCTGCCCCTCGCGGGCAGAATCTGACAGCACGGGGCCTGGCTCAGGGCGAGGGTTCCAGGGGCATTCAGTGAAGGAATGAACAGACCGGCTGAGGCTGTGAGGCCCAGGGTCACCAAGCCAGACTGAGCCCCTGACCCTGGGCACTGTGCACACCTGTGTGTGTTCGGCTTCTCCACTGAGCAGCTGGCAGATGCACAGAACTCAGTCCCAGAGCCAAAGGGGACAAAGGTGAAGGCTCCCAGGCTGGGCAGCTTGGGCTGGCACCCGCTGGTCCTTCCCATGCAGTGCACCCAGCAGCTGGGGCTCCCACAGAGACGCAGGGCCAGGGCCAGGTGGCTGCGGACTGCCCGGAGCACGCTTCCAGAGCAAGGGCCTCAGCCTTCCACGATGCCGCTCTGTCGCCTCCTCGCCGCCTTCACCAGCCTCCTGGGGCAGGCAGCCACCATTCTGGAGAAAGCTGCTTCTCCCAACGAGGCATGAGGCAGTGGCGCACTCACTGATCAGAGACATTTACAGACCTCTCAGCCGCCGAGGCCCCCTCAGAGAAGGTTCCTGACTTCATGGAGGTGCCACACTCTGCTCACACAAAATTAACTGCTTTTTCTACTTAGAAAAACGACTCTGCCAACTGCCGTCCCCACTGTGTCTAAGCGGCTTGCTTACTTTAAAATTAAAAACCACAATGGTCCCAGCTCCTGGCGGGTGGTGGGGTTTCCAACCTCACGAGGCATTCCCACTTCTGGTGGGCACTTCCTGGACACTGGCAGAGCACAGTCGATCCCGTGTGGGTGGCCTCCTCTCAGCCAAGCCCAGGGTGAGGGCAGTGGGGCTCCAAGGAGGGGAAGCTGGCGAGGATGAGGGCCAGCGGGGATAGGGCGGCCTGCAGGGCGGTTGGCAGTTGCACCCCCAGTCTCCTGGGAAGCCAAACTGAGAGGTTTAGACTCAGGGGGTAAAATGGATAAATGAAGATTTTCTGGGATAGCTTATTTTCTAATTTTACAATGCCGTGCTTATTAATCAGCAAAAGATCCCAGTAATGCCGACATCAGGTGCTTAAACTACACCCCCAGCCGGTCAGAACGGGCACAGGACGTGGCTCAGTTCTGGTTTAGGATGACGTGGATGCATGTTCTCCATCCACAAACACCTGGGCTGGGTTCCATCTGCTAGGCCAGGCCCTGTTGGCAGCTCCAGGCCTCAGCACAACCCTCACCTGTCTGGTCTCTCCTGGAACCGAGATGAAGTGGGGCAGCAGGACCTCCCTGGCTCCTCCCAAGGCTCTCGGAAGGAGCAGGGATGCTTGGAGCCACTGACGAGCACGGAGCTGGGGAACAAAAGGCTGCCAGTTGTGTAGAGCACTGCTCTGGGGACCCAGGACCGTCCCTTTAGTTGAGACGAGGGCCTGGAGAAGGCAGAGTGGTGACGCGTGGCTGACCCCAGCCGGCTGGTGCAGAGTCTGTCTGGTTCCCACTGCTGGGGTCTTCCGTGCTGCACCCAGAGCCCTCTGCTGGGTGAATACTGGGCAGAAGGACTTCCCAGCCAGCACCTCAGAGAACAGTGGGTATCACCCCGTGAAGGGGCCAACAGTCCACAGGGTGCTCGGGACGCCTCACAGAGGAACATGTGGGGTGGGTCAGGGGCTGGACACTAGTCCACAGGGAGTCCCACAGGTAGAGCACGGGGCCCAGCAGGGTGTGCCTCTGATGAGTGGGGTGCAAGGAGGGCTCTCCCACTAAGTTGCCAGGGACTAGCTTAGTGAGGTTAAACAGTGCGTCCCCAGTCACACAACTCCCAGTGGCCTGGCTGGAAGGCACCCCAGGCTGTGTGATTTCTTGCCCAGCCCTGTCCCTAAAGCATCACAGTCCAGGTGCTGTGAAGAGGGTTCCAGGGACCAGAGGTCACGCGCTGCACCCTGCAGGGGTCGCGCTGCTGAGGGGCACGCTGGCCCAGGGAAGGTTCTGCGGGGAGCTTGTCACACAGTCACATCAAATAACTCATAACTTGGGCAGCATTTCCACTGCCATGACCACATGACCACTGCCAGGCTCGTCTTCTCAGCTAGACGAGCTTTCAACCAGCGGGAGGTCAGCGGCGAAACGCAGGCAGCGCTTCTCAAAACTCTTCCACAAATAACCCTGTGAACTAAAATTTAATAAACCTCTCTCCTAGTAGAAAATCAAACTCGGGTTCTTTTGAAAGGGCATTTACTTACTTGAAAATCTTTTTCTTCTAGTATTTCCTTCCTCCATCTCACGAGAAAAGCAGCGCACACGTACAAGTGGAAATGAGAAAAGCCCTCTGGTTCAGACTAAAAGAGAAAAAATAACCAAGAGAGAAATTGTAAAGTGTGATCCATGAACATGACTGCAAGGTTATCTGCGACAGTCAGGGTTTATCTAGTCAGGGTTCAGAGAAAACCAAAGCTTGTGTTGACGTACTTTTACTTAATGCCTTAATTTCAAAATTGTCAGCTCATTAAAACAAACACCATTTTCTCTTTAAGTACCAGCAGGCTGATAAACAGCAAGTGAATAGCAGACCAAGCTTTGGGCAGCCTCAGAGGCAGTTGTTCACTCTCCTCTCTTGCACAGACAATAGCCAAAAAGCATAAGAGACAAATTCAACGTGCGCTGGTGCTGTGCCAGGCACAGAGTCTGCTCCTCACAACGGCGTGTGAGGGAGGCCTCCTCCCAACTGCGTGTGACGGAGGCCTCCTCCCACTCCACAGATGAGGAAACAAGGCTGAGCCCAGGCCGGGCCCAGTCAAGCCGGAGATCAGGCACTGGGCCCAGGACCACAACCTGGTCCGGGTCTCCCTGGGAAACGAACAGGGAAGTGATGCTGATCGGAAGCCACAGATGTGGGAGGACACGGCTCACATCCCTCAAATCACCACCCACGTCTCTCTCTCCTGTCATTCAAACGCGCCTCCCCTGCTCCCCCTTCTTGAGGTAGCTACCCCCTACTCATCCCGGAGACCCAGGACCACTGTCAGCTCCCAGAGACCCTCCCACACTGAGGTTCGGGGCGTGCACACCTTGGGGCTGTGGTATTAGTTCAAGCACACACAGCCAACTGCAAAGACTGAGGGTTCCCAAAACTCCAGTTCTTGGGGTACCACCTTCACTTTTCTGCCTTGCCCATGCAACATCTGTAGGACTACCATCAGTGGTTCAGTAAGTAAACAAATCAAACGCACACTGCATTCAATGGTGATGTGCTATGGAGAAAACAAGGCAAAGACTGGGATGCGGAACAGCAAGGGGGTTTGTATGTGAAGAGGGGGATGCCACTTCAGTAAAATGGTCAGTCACCTAAGGTGACAGATGAGCAAACATTCAGAGAGAAAAGGCATTTATTATTATTATTATTATTATTTTCTTCACTGAGACGGAATTTCACTCTGTTGCCCAGGCTGGAGGGTAGTAGCATGATCTCGGCTCACTGCAACCTCCGCCTCCCGGGTTCCAGCAATGTTCTTGTCTCAGCCTCCTGAATAGCTGGGATTACAGCTGCACGCCACCAGGCCAGACTAATTTTTATATTTTTAGTAGTGGGGTTTCACCATGTTGGCCAGGTTGGTCTTGAACTCCTGATCTCAAGTGATCCACTCGCCTCAGCTTCCCAAAGTGCTGGGATTACAGGTGTGAACCACCGCCCCTGGCCAGAAAAGGCATTTAGACACATGACAGAGAAACATTCCAGGTAAAAGCTACAGGAAGCACAGAGATGCTGTGGTTAGAGGCTGCCTGGTACGTTCCAGAAATAGCGAGGAGGCCAGCACAGCTACCGCAGAGCAAGGCGAGCAAAGGCAAGCGTTGGCAGGCACGTGTGGGGTATAGATCCTCGGGGCTCTGAGCAGAGAACGACACAGGCTTCAGAAGCATCCCTCCGAGTGTCACACTGACAACGGATGGCACAAGGCAGGGTGGGGAGAGGCAGAACCAAGAGAACCAGGAGACAGGTTAGGGGACCATGGTAGTCAGAATTCAAGAAGCGCTAGTGACTTGGGCCAAGGAGGAGCAGGGAAGCTTGTGGGAAGACCAATTCGAGATGTATTTTGAAGGTTTTACAGAAAAAATACACCAACGCGTATGAGAGATCTGGGGTAGGAGAGAAAGGAACCAAGGGCCACTCTGACAATTTGAGGCTCAACAACTGGAAGGGTGAAGTTGCCAGTTCCTAAGATGGGGAAAGGTTTGTGGAAAAGGCCGTAGGAGACAGTGTTTTGGTGGGAAGGCCGTGAGTTGTTCTTTGGAACTACCAAGTTTAAGATACTTGGGGATCCAGGTGGAGATGCCAGGGAGGTACACAGACACAAAAGACCAGAGAGTGACCAGTGATTCGGGACAGAAATAAACACCAAGGACTAAACCGCCCACAGGAATGATCAGCAAGCTGGGGCCAGACCAGAGAACATGAAGAGGGTGCATATTCTAGAGTTCTTGGATAGAGTGCCCTGCATATGTCCACTAAATAAAGTTCATCAACAGTGTTGGTTCAAGTTTCCTATAAATCCTGTGGTGTTTTTTTTTTTTTCTTTCCATCTACTTATAATCTATCAATAACTGACAGGTATGCTTCAAAACTCCCATTATGAGAGTGAGTTTATGTCTTTCTCCTTATGGTTCTGCCAATCTTTGTTTTCTGTGTTTGGAAGGTATGTTATCAGGAGCATAGGAATTCAAAATTATTTTCTCTTCCTGGTGTACTGAACAGTATAAATACTTATGACCTCTATCCTCACACAGGGCTTTTGCTCTGAAGTCTCTAGTGGGGAGGAAGGAGTCTAACTGACTACAACTACGTATCAGTTTTTGTTGGGTAATGTATTTTAAACAGCTCTCCTGAGGTATAATAAATTTTACATACTTCAGGCTGGGCGCGGTCGCTCATGCCTGTAATCCCAGCATTTTGGGAGGCCGAGACGGGTGGATCACAAGGTCAGGAGAACACAGTGAAATCCTGACTCTACTAAGCATATAAAAAATTGGCCAGGTGTGGTGGTGTGCGCCTGTAGTCCCAGCTACTTGGGAGGCTGAGGCAGGAGAATGGCGTGAACCCAGGAGGCAGAGCTTGCAGTGAGCCGAGATTGTGCCACTGCACTCCAGCCTGGGTGACAGAGCGAGACTCCATCTCATAAAAAAAAAAACAAAAAACTTTACATACTTCAAGTTTATAATTTGATATGTTTTGATATATGCATACACCTGGGAAAACACCATCACAACCAAGGTAGTGGACATTATCTATGGCTCCAAAGGTTCTTTGTGCCCATTTGCAAATCCTCCCTTTGAGCCCTCCCAGTCCCAATCACTGACGTACTCGTGTCACTACCCATTAGCTTACATTTCCAACACTTTCAAATAAAGGGAATCCTATAATACACATTTGGTTTTGGTCTAGCTTTTCCACATAGGGTGATTACCTTAGATTCACCGTGACACTGCACGTACCAATCGCTCATTTCTATCAACGCTGAGCAGCACACACTGCATGGATATACCACAGTTTGTTCATCCATTCATCTGCTGAAAGACTGAATTGTTTCGAGTTTGGGGCAACTATGCAGAAAGATGCCATGAACATTTGTGTACTCATCTTTGAATGGACATAGGCTTTCATTTTGCTTGGAAAAATACTTAGGAGTAGAACAGCTGGATCATATGGTAGGAGTATGTTTACCTTTTGAAAAACCTGCCACTAGTTTTGATATAAATCTTTTATGAAATACATGCTTTGCAAAGGTTTTCTCCCTGTGCCTTCTCTTTTCATCCTCTTAACAGTGACTTTTGAAGATCATGGGTTTTGTTGTTGTTGTTGTTGTTGTTGTTGTTGTTGTTTTTGAGACAGAGTCTCGCTCTGTCGCCCAGGCTGGAGTGCAGTGGTGGGATCTCGGCTCACTGCAACCTCTGCCTCCCAGGTTCACGCCATTCTCCTGCCTCAGCCTCCCAAAGAGCTGGGACTACAGGCACCCGCCACCACGCCCGGCTAATGTTTTGTATTTTTAGTAGAGATGGGGTTTCACCATGTCGGCCAGGATGGTCTCAATCTCCTGACCATGATCCACTGCTTTGGCCTCCCAAAGTGTTGGGATTACAGGCGTGAGCCACCGCGCCAGGCCAGATCATGGGTTTTAAATTTTGATGAGGTTCAACCTAGTACTTTGTTCTTTTACAGATCATGCTGTTGGTGTCTTAGCTAAAAAATCATTGCCTAACTCAAGGGCACAAAGGTTTTCTTCTACAAGGTTTATAGTTTTAAATTTTACTTTAGATCTATACTCCATTTTGAGTTAATTTTTGTATATGGTAAAAGGTATGGAAGTTCATTTGTTATTTGTTTGTTTGTTTTGAGATGGAGTTTCATTCTTGTTGCCCAGGCTGGAGTGCAATGGCATGATCTCGGTTCACCGCAACCTCTGCCTCCCGGGTTTAAGTGATTCTCCTGCCTCAGCCTCCTGAGTAGCTGGGATTACAGGCATGCGCCACCATGCCTGGCTAATTTGGTATTTTTAATAGAGACAGGGTTTCTCCATGTTGGTCAGGCTGGTCTCAAACTCCTGACCTCAGGTGATCTGCCCACCTCGGCCTCCCAAAGTGCTGGGATTACAGGCGTGAGCCACCATGACCGGCCTGGAAGTTCATCTGTATGCACATGGATATCCAATTGTTCCAGCAATTTGTTGAAAAGACTAAACTTCAGCTAGTGCTAGCCCTCCCTTATGTCTTCTTTTTCAAGGCCGTTTTGGCTATTCCAAATCTTCTGCATTTCTGTATGAATTTTAGAACCTGTTTTGTCAATTTTTACAGAAAAGTTTGCTGGGATTTCTGACTCATGACCATAGTATAGCTTTTAATCCATCCTCTGACTCATGACCATGATATAGCTCTTCATTTAATCAGATCTTCTTTCTCTTCACCCGTGTTTGATGGTTTTCTCAGTAAAGGTCTATTATTCTGTTTTTAGATTTTCCCTAACAAGTTCATATTTTTGATGATATTGAAAATGGGGTCCTGAAAATCTTCATTTCTGTTTGTTGGTAGCTGTTGTTTTCCCCCCTAATCTTTATTTCCTTATATTTCTCTTATAACTAGCATAGCACTGGGTTTTTAAACTCCGGTCATGCTTTCTAACCGAAGAGCTTGGTCTCTGCTGGCTGTGACTCCTGACGCATTCAGGTTAATTCACATGCTCTCGTTTAGAACTTTCCAACTGTTCTACTTTTTCTATCATTTGTCTTTCTTGCCTGCATGTGGACTAACCTACTTCTCTCTACATTCTAATGCCCCAACCCCAATTAATCAG